ACTTATGTTATTCAACTTATGTGAAGAAAAGCAAAGGTAGACCTTGAAAGACTTGGGCATGTCGTATAAATTAAATGAACTTATGACACTCAATATAACACAATGGAGACGAAGGATTCATGTTGTTGACCCCACTTTGACACGGGGCCTCTGTGGGTCGACCTAGCCCAAATCGGTCCAGCCTCCCTGCTAGACCAGACCGTCCAGACCGACTAAATTGAGGCGGAAGTTTCCTCCCCTTATCATTTTGGGCCCCTTAATTCTTTCTGCCCCTTATCATTTCAGGGCCCTTAATTCCTCCCCTATCAATCACTCTCCTTCCTATATAGACTGAATTTCAAATTCTTGCCCATTATTTCCACTCTTCTTTAATTCTTACCTATTTCTCTACCTACCTAGTTTACCCCTCTACTTTCATCTATTTGTAATTGTTGTGTGCAGACCACTAAACATTTCTTGTTCATTTTCTGATTTCAAGCTTGTTTTCCAGGTGTTCCCTCTTTCAAAGGATGTATCTGATGGTGAGCAGTGCTACGACTATACCTCGTCTAAGGTAGTTTATATCTCCCTTTCTTTCCTTCTTCCCTTATCTGTTACTAGGTCCTACCTCTGCATAGAGAGGCCATTGGTCATGCCTCTGCCCATCTCAGTCGACCACAAAACTCGCGAGCGTCACAAACGGGCCGGAACATCTTCCTTATTTGCTTCTCAGCCATTTGCAGATCTCTCTAGCGTCACTTATGAGCCACTAACTACCTCTCATTCACCCTCAGTTGTTTGCAGATCGCTCTAGTCCCATAGACGGGCCACTAACTCCCTCCCATTTGTCCCTAGTCGATTGTAGATCCTGACAACATCGTAAATGGGTCGCAGCCATCTCTATTTGCTCCCAGTTTTTTGTTGCTTCGTCAGCACTTCTTTCTGTCGCTTTTGGCTCCCAGCTCCTAGGCTTACGGCTTCACCTCTCTCGAGCTTCGACTTAGTGCTTCCAATAAACTTGCAAACATCGACATCACTTCTACAACATCTTCCACTCATCAGATCTTTTGCTCCTACTCCTAAGCGTTGTTTGTCTTCTATTATTTGATTATGTTTATTCTTATTTCTTGAAATTCGTATTATTATTGATTGTATTGTATTATTGTAGTTGTAGCGTTGTCTTTATACCTTTTTTATTTATCATCAATAAAATTGTGTCGTTTGTATTGTGGTTTGTATTAACTCTAGTATCATTTGGTATCAGAGCTGACTAACTCTGGTGTTATCCTAGGGTTTCCAAGCATCCGCCATAACCCAGAAATTTTCGCTCCTTCCACCGAATAACCTTTTCACTTCCACATATCCCCAACCCTAATTACCCCTTGCTAATTTTCAAAACCAGCACCTTAAACTAATTTTCTTTTTTGCTCTCTTTCACCTCCTAGCCCTAAACCCTAGCCATGTCATTAAAGTAATACATGTCGAAGCCTACCCGAGAGGAGATACAACGATAGATCCTCCAACTTCAGCAGAGGCTTTCCGATATTAGGATGAAATCCAATGGGAAGTTACCTTCGACCGTGATCAGAAAAGTCAAAGGAGAGAACGAGATAATCTAGAGATGAAGTGGAAGACACATCGCCAGTTCCTGCTAGCTTACTACAGGCAGACATGCAGACTCTATCTTCAGAAGTGGAGGGACCACATCACTAATCAACCTCCACATCTTACAGAAAGATTTTAACTTTAAGTTCTTATAGTCATAATCTACCTAAGAGCACACCCAAGACGACTTTGACAGAGGAAGAGCTGATTCAAAGTAGAGAATAGGTAGAACCAATCTGCAGCCCTAAATCTGTTGTAACCAATAAGTGTTGTAAGTGTCATGGATTTGGGCATGTTGAATCAGACTGCACAACTAGATGATAATCTATTTCACTGAGCAGGGTGGTTTTGAAAAATTGGGCAATGACTTAGTTAATCGGGGAGAAGATGATGACTTCAGAGAAGATTCTCAACTTGCAGCTAATGAGGAAGAGCCGTTATCGATTTCAATGGACCCCAGGAGAGTGATTTCAGCAAAGGTAACAGTAGTTGTTCTAGAAGATAGTAATTTTGATTTAAGAGGTTCATGCAGAGTATTAGATTATGGTGCCTCGAGTTACCATTTAGTAGGCGTTGAGAGGAACATCAGCAAGACTTACTTTGGATATCCAAAATGACCACGAGCTTGAGGAGCCGATACTAGAAAGGTGTTAAATTAAGATAAGAGGATTTCAGCATTTCATATATGTAGTTTGCCACCTGAATTGGCCCCAATCGAAGGGGGTGCAGCACATCAGAGATGAGAAGATTTTTAGTTACATCTGGAAGACAATTATGAGTCATTTGGGGATTAAAATTGGTTCAACAGTGTACATCTCGACGGATGATCAGACAGGATGGACGAACCGTAGTTGTGGGAATTGCCCCAGGATCTTTCGGATAAAGAATATTCTACCGTGGGATCTAGTTCCTTCCCAAGATAAAGCAAGTGCCACTCATGAGTGGTTACACGTCAGGGTGGGCCGACCTGCTAGAGATATCATTCCCGAGTTGACCCCATGACAGCTTCGTTTATCCGACACATCCAGCCGAGTACGAAGAGTGGGAGAACCACATTATGTATTTACTTGTTCAGAATTTGGCTCAAGAGAACTTGCGTCGTTGTATACCTACGGCTTAGATTGACTATTTGGAAATGTTTTCTCTGGTAGGTAAGTTGACTTATGTTTGCTATTTCTTGTTGAATAATTAGCTCCACACTTGCTCGATGTGAAGAAAGTTTTTCTTCATGTTGATCAGCAGAGGTATACATAGAGCAATCTTCTGGATTTGTTATTCAGGGGGAGTTTGGAAATGTCTGTTGTCTTCAGAAGTCACAATATGGATTGAAGCAAATCCCTCGACCTTTGTTAGGAAAATTTAGCAACGCAGTAGAAGAGCTTGGGATGTAAAAGAGTAGAAATGATGACATTGTATTCTACAAGTGATCTGCTTTTGGGATCATTTTGTTGGGGGATCATTTTGTTGGTGGTACATGTTGATGATATTATTATTATTAGAAGCGATGTGCAGAAAATTTTATCATTGAATTCATTCCTTCAAAATCAGTTCAACACTAAATATCAAGATTCCTTGAACTAGTTTTGGGGATTGAGATATGAAAGAGCAAGAAGGGTACCTCTCTACGTTAATGGAAGTATGTTTTGGATTTGTTAGCAAAGATGATAAAATTTGGAGTCAAACCATGTGGTACTTCGATGTTTCCTAATCACAAACTTATCAAGAATGGAGAGTTCTTTTAATGATTTTGAACGATATAGGAGTTAGTGAGAAAACTAAACTACCTCACAGTGACTCGTCCTGACATTGTGTATTTATTTAGTACTATAAGTCAATGTTCTCCCCATAGTACGTCCTTGGTTAGCTATTGATTTGATAAGTTGTTATCTCAAAGGAACTTTGGAAAAAAAGGGATCTATATCAGAATCGTAGGTATAGAAATATTGATTTTTTCTCTGATGCAGATTAGGCAAGTTCCAAGATTGTCCGAAGATTCATTTTTGGATATTATGTTTTTGTTTGTGGTAATTTTGTCTCACGAAAGAGTAAGAAATAAATTAGTATCCCTATAATCTAAATATATAGCAATGATATAAGCTTTGAGTGAATTGATGTGAGTCTCCCAATTTCTGACCGAAATGGGTTTTAAGATGAAAGTTCTAGCGAAGTTGTGGTGTGATCAAGCTGAAATTCATATTACTTCAAACCCTGTCTTCCATGAACGAACTAGACACATTAGGATTGATTGTCATTTTATTCGTGAAGAAATTGATAAAATTGATTTCTACAACTCAAATAAAGACTGGTGAAGAACTAGGAGACATCTTCACAAATGCCCTTAATGGAGCTAGAGTCACTTATATTTGTAATAAGTTGGCATGAAAAATATTTATGCTTCAGTTTGGGGGGTAGTGTTATGAAAAGTATGTTATGGAAAGTATTAATCGAAGACTTGTATATTAGGAAGTTTGATTTTAGATAACCTAATTGGAGTAGATCTAATTACAGATCTTTTTTATACTAGATATATTTTTAATCTTTAGAGGTATGAGTGTATATAAATAATTAAGATATGCTTTCAATTGAGGAATAAGAGAAAAGGAAGTTTCCTTCACAAGAAGGAATCCTTGGAATATATTCTCTGATTGCATTATAGTTTTTTTTTTCTTATTTTGGAGGGATTTCTATTTTGGAGGGATTTCTATGTAGTAAGGTTTACTGCAATGGAGCTAGCGAAAAATAAATTTCTTTTCCGGAATTCTATACCTCCAATAGCTAAAATAAAGCATGGTAGAAACTAAATGTTAAGATTGATGCATAATATAACTAGGAAAGGTATAATGAAAGACTTATTATATTAAAGGGATGGTATGGCATTGTTTGAAGATAAGGTAGCAAAAAATAGTCATGCACAATGAAGGGTATAGAAGGCACTTATTAGCTGGGTAGATAAAATTATGGAGTATTATTAAGGAAAATAGTGGTCCTAAGGTATCATAAATAAATATTATTTAAAGCAATTTGCTAATAGTAAGTTTAGCACTTCATGTAACAATCAACTTTTATGAATGAAAAGGAGGATTCATAAAATCAACCCAAAATAAAATATAAATATAAATATAAAAAGCTAATGATGATGATGGTGTGAATCTACATTTTTTTTATTTTGATTTATATTTTTTAGTTCATAGACGTATTTGTTCAGCTTATTGTTGGTATATTGACAGTAGCCGTGTATTTTGTTGAGTATTACGCATCTATCATGTAAGTAGTTTTGATGCAGCAGTCATTTGCATGTGTATATGACATTTAATTATTTAAGCATGCTTGTAGCTACACTTATTTGTATATCTATTTTATTTTTTGTGTTCCCCTTACATCGTTCTTTCATTTCATGATATCTCTACTGAATTTAGAGCGAGAAGCAAGTTTTGGCTCTTTTGTCACGATTGGATGTACAAAATGTTTATTTCATGGAATCTCCTCCAGGTGCATACTTGTCTTTATTTTTTTTTTTGGTGTTGCCTTATGTAAACTCTTTTTTGACTTAAGAGTGCTGGTATTTATGCCATTCATGGCTTTTCTTTCAGATTATGCAGAACATTCAGTACACCTGGTGGTTGGGGATGGTTTGGAGGCTTACCTTCCTCTTGCAGATATGGTGGATGTGTCTGCAGAAAGTCAGCGCCTTACAAAGCGGCTTTCCAAAATGCAAGCAGAATATGATGCACTCCTTGCTCGCCTAAGCAGTCCAACCGTAACTTTCTACCACACAAACTTCGCTCCTCACAGTTTTATAATTTATAAGCATCATAGCCATTTTATCATATAAACTTTAATAGCTTATTTTCTCATCTTACTCTTTATTATTTTGTATTTATTAAAGATTACACAATTAAAGTGTATTGAAGATGAAAATCAAAAAGTGTTTTTCTTAGAAAAAGTATTCAAAATAGGTGGGTAAGTTATTTTGATAAATTTTTTAATGAAGTTTCAGAAAATACAATCGACTTTAGTGATCTTAATATCGTTAATAATAATAAAATGCTTCATTTTTACCATGTCATTAGTAAAAAAAAGTTGAGGCTTTAAAGAAAACTAAGGGTGGAACGTTTGTAGGACCTGATGATATCCCAATTGAAGTGTGGAAATATTTAAGAGATTTGCGAGTTTCTTGGATTATTAAACTCTTTAATATTGTTTTAAAAACTAAAAAGATGCCTGAGGAGTGGAGGAAGAGTATTTTAGCCCCCATTTTTAAGAATAAAGGGGATGCACAAGAGTGTGCCAATTATAGAGGAATTAATATTATGTGGCATACTTTCAAATTAATGGATAGGGTAATTGAACATAGGTTAAGACGTATTACAAAGATTTCTCATAATCAATTTGGATTTATGTCGGGCAAGTCTACTATGGAAGTTATACATTTATATACATTTGGAAGTTATACATTTATTGAGAGGTTTTTTGGAGAATTTTCGAGATAATAAGAAGGTTGTACATATGATTTTTATTGATTTAGAAAAAGCTTATGATGAGGTTCGAAGAGATATCCTTTGTAGAGTTCTTGAGAAGAAAGGTGTTGATATGACTTATATTCAAGTCATTAAAGATATGTATACAAGATCTGTTACTTGTGTTCGAACAGAAAGAGGATTGACCAAATATTTTCCTATTTTTGTTGGTTTACATCAGGAATTGGCTTTATGCACGTATCTTTTTGCTTTAGTTGTGGATGGTCTGACTAGACACTTACAGGAGGGTGTACATTAGTGTATGCTTTTTGGTGATGATATCCTTCTCGTGGATAAGACGAGAGAAAAAGCTCAAGAAAAACATGAATTATAGAGGTCTACCTTAGAGTCTAAAGGCCTTCATTTGAGCAGAACTAAAACTGAATATATTGGATGTAATTTTAGTAGTACTAGCTCTAGTGACAGAAAAATAACTATGGTTGGTCAAAATTTGATCAAATTTTTAAAAGGAGTGAATACTTTGGATATCTTGGGTCTATTGTTCAAAATGGTGATATTGATGGGGATGTTATTAGTAGAGTTCAAGTTGGTTGGTTGAAGTGGAGTAATGTTTCAGGCCTATTGTTTGATAGAAAAGTACCGCTTAGGCTGAAAGGAAATTTTATAAGATGGTGGTGAGACCTGCCATGCTCTATGGCACTGAGTGTTGGTCTCATGTTGCCCTTTAAAATAGAAGCATAAAACTAAGTTAGGTGTTGTTAATATGAGAATGATTAGGTGGATGAGTGGCTTTACACTTAGAGACAAAATGCGAAATGAATATATTCGTGATAGGGTTGGTGTAGCCCTGGTGACAAACAAAATTAGAGAGAGTTGTCTTAGATGGTTTGGTCACATTAAACGCCGACCATCTGATGATCTGATTAGATGAGTAGATATTATAGACTCTACTTACGTTAAAAAAGGTAGCGGTAGACCTAGGATGACTTGGGCTTATTGTATAAAAATGTTCTTAATTTATTAGAATTAAATGAAAGTATGACACTAAATAGGACGCAGTATGACACATGACACTAAATAGGACGCAATGGAGAAAAAGGATTCATGTAGCCGACCCCACTTAGTGGGATAATGTTTTTGTTGTTGTTGTTGTTCTATAATTGTGAAGGAAAACGACAATTTTCAGTAGAGTTTTACTCTGATAATATATCATACACATAATAATCATTTGATTGTTCACATTAGGGTTGTCTTCATTTGAAAGTTTTACTTTGTAGCAATGTTATAAGTGACCACACTACTATCCTATAAAAATATGAGCTCTTCTATCAATGAATGTAAATATATATCAATTTTTTCTTTTGGCTGTAGTTGGCATATAATTTGTGTGAAAAATGTAAGGGCGTAGTCATGCATATCTTTGGTGGTAGAAATATATATCATTTTTTTCTTTTGGCTGATGTAAAGGGCGTAGTCATGCATATCGTTGGTGGTACATTGTAAGGCGTGACTATCATATACCAATATCAATAAGATGAGACTATGCGGCATGAATTGTCAACGTATAAATCAAGCTTGACATTATGTTGGTCAGTAACAAAATCAGGATAGGTAGAATTGGAGTAGTGCATACTTCTTTATTCAATGGATGACTCGAAATATATTCCCTTTGCCCGCTTTTTTTTAAATATCATCTTATTTTCTTAGTATAACACATGAATGCATACAACTTTAAAAATATGGAATGAGTGTCAAGTAGACAAAAGCTTATTTAAAACTTTCTTCAATTTTTTTTTTTGTTTTCTACCTTATGGCATGAACATTGGTGCTTTGTAAATATTTATATTCAGTCTTCATCATGTCACCTTGCAGTATAACTTATAATCATTAATATAACAATTTATTTATTTTAATTTATTTTTATTTAATTTTTAAATTTTTGAGATCAAACCTAATTTCGACACCAATGTTTTTGTTTTGTATAAATCTTTTATAACTAATTATTCCCTTAGATTAATCTCTTCTAACAATCCTGAAATACATTTAAGCATTCTCATGTGATGTTTTATTTGATTTTATTGCTAAACATTCTAATAGCCAACAATAATTCAGAGTGGTTCGTGCAACCTTTTTCACAAGAATTGTTGTGCTGCATTCAATGTTTCGTAGAACTTCCAAGCTTCTATGTTTAGTGGCTCCTCTACTTCTCCAAAAAATTTAACTCTTTTTGCATGACATATCATTTCTTCTTATCAACTAAAATCATATCATTTGGAATAGCGGAGTTTGTTAAATCTTCAACTCGAGAATTAATCTATGTTTGAAACTCATCGTGCGAAGTCCAAAATTAGCAATTTTGGTTGCAATATTTTGTCATACAATTCTATATTGATTTCATTGACATTCAATACACTTATTTCTTGTGTCTCACATATGGGCATCAAAATTTTCATCTTAAAGATAAGATGAAATTGTGATGTCATGTGCATGAAATACTTGACACTATTGAAGAATTTCTTAATTTGTCATTTTTTTATCAAAAGACAACTTAAATAGATCCACGATCTTTTATTGTGAATATCCATGCGCGACATATATATGTGAGAACCAAAATATCAAAAACGTTCTAATAAGCAAAAAAGATGACGTTTCTTTAAAATGATCGAAAAAATTACTTGAGTTAGTCAAGAAAATGTTATGGAATTAGTAAGTCGTGCCAAGAGATAAATGAAAACAAAGAAGTGACATAGCTATTCCATATATACAAGAGAGAAGCTATATATTTTCATGATCATTTATCATTTGAAAATAAGTAAAAAAATAGGAAGATCTAATCGCAAATAAACAAATCATAAAAAAATTAAAGTTTATTTCAAAAAAAAATCATAAATTTTCAATGGAGGAAATGCCAGATTTAATGGATGAAATTTCAATATAATAAATATAAAAGCTAAAAAAGAGTTTTTTTTAATCAAAATTTGGTTGTTTTACGACGAAAGCTTGAGTTGCTGGCCGAGAGATGAAATGAGTGGAGAAGAAATAAAGTTTAGGGCATCAAGTTTAATGTATAATAAAAAATAGTAAAAACTAGCAGATTATCTATCAAAATATTTTTTGACTAAAATTCAATCACTAGACAAGTGATACTTGAACCGAGAGAAATTCTATAATTATTTTAATCAGGAAATCTAACAAAATAATCAGTTGTAATACCTTACAGTAATTTTTTACTAAAATGTTTTGCCGGTATTTTCGTTAGATTTGTGTGCTTCTCTTGTGGTGAATTGTGTCGTCATATTTTTGCTTGGTGAATGAAATTTTGTCAGATTGAATATATGTTGGTTTCTTAAAGTGTAAATTTGATCAACGATTAATTTTTATTATTGATCATTTTTCATCTAATGAAAATTTTATATTTGAGGAAATCGTTAAATTATCTTGTTGGATGTAAAAAACATAATTATTGTCTTTACATTCAGAGTATTATTTTTTTACTATAAATTTGTCACAATTTGGCCTGATAGCTTAAATTTAATCAAATCTGAAACGGCGGTGGGATGATATTAAACTTTCTTTTAAATTATACAATAAATCAGCATAACTTTCAATAATAAAAAGAATAACTGAAACCCAGAAAGTATATTAAACTATAATCAAATTCAACCAAAACAACATAATAGTCTTAAAGTAAAATAATTTCACAATCCAACTAACAATACAACATCATTCTGAAATAAATATTACAAGAAACTAGAATTATAAAAAAAAAACATGCTACCTAGTATCAATAGTTCTCTTGTAACAAATTCTCTCCTATCAAACATATCAACCTAGAGTATTACTTAAAAGAACTAATTAAAAAAATAATACTAAGTTTACCACAACTTAGTGAGCAGTTATAATTTTATTATACATTAAATTAATAGGACGCAATGGAGAAAAAGGATTCATGTAGCCGACCCCACATAAGTCCACATAGTGGGATTAAGGCTTTGTTGTTGTTGTTGTTTTTGTTGTATTAAATTAATATAAAAATGCTATGAATAAATCTCTAAAAGAAATGTGAATCATTAATTAATCAAATTGTAAGTTTTTATTTTAAATTAATCCATCATATTTCAATTTTCGTTTTTACCTTTTCTACCTTCTTAAGAAGTCATGTCAAAGCTACCACATTTGTATCCTAAAACACATAGTATTTGCAGGTACTCTAAAAATTTGTACCCGTAAGTACCCTAAAAACTTTGCACCCGTAGGTACACTTTTATCATTTTTCATTTTTTCATGCACGGGTACAATAGCATTCCTAGGTAGTACCATAAGAGAATACAATCTGATTGAATTATAATCACTTACATGTCATTTCATTTTGATCTTATCCATTTAAAATCATGTAACAACCATTTGCCCTTTATCGTTTCATTTATTTTCATTTCAAAGATCTTTTAACTTTCAATATGCATATGATCACAATCAGGTATTTTTAAGCCAATAATGCAAGTCCCTTTTAAATAAAATATTAATATATTACACGAAAGAAAAGGATTTCTTTACAAGCTTAATCTTGTGCTTGCTTCTTCTTACTTTCGCCTTCTTGACTCTACCTTATTTGCCTAAACCATGATTCAAGAACCTTATCCATTGAATCAAATTATCATTAATTCATTTAATATCTACTTAATAGCATCTTATTTAATTAAGTAAAATATTTTGTATAAGTAGAACACCTAAATTCTTACCTTACCAAAATTTGATTGGATCAATGGTCCTTCCCACAAAATCTTCCAACTATAATATCTGTTTATAATTCAAAAAACTTTACATGTTAATATCATAACTCTTAACTCTAAAAAAAAAAATAAAAAAAAAAAAATTCTGAAACTGTTGTTCATCTCTCATCTCAGCCTAATTTGCATCACAAAACCTAGACTCGTAAGTGTCTTACATCAAATTCTTTTTAGAACGTATTGTTGTATCATCATATCTTGATTAAAATATGACTTCATAATTGGGAAATCGAAAGAGTTAATAAAAGATTCTACAGATATTAAAACAAATTGTGGATCAAAACAAATACAAAACAATTATAATGGTTACTGTTTTCCTACGTTTGATGTATGGCATGGTATGATCTTGAAGATTTTTTAGGTTGGATTCCTAATTTTGAACACTGTTTTGTTACTGTTTTCCTAAGTTTGATGTATGGTATGGTATGATCTTGAAGATTTTTTAGGTTGGTTTCCTAATTTTGAACACTGTTTTGTTACTGTTTTCCTAAGTTTGATGTATGGTATGGTATGATCTTGAAGATTTTCTAGGTTGGATTCCTAATTTTGAAGACAGTTTTGAATATCATTATCCTTTTAATTTTGAAAAACTTCACTGTGCTAAATAGAACTAGTAGATCATGATAAATCATTTTGGAAAGTATTGCAGGTGAACAAAACCTTTATGGAACATAAACTTACCAAAAATTATGCAATCTTGAGGTTTTTTTTTTTATTTATTTTTAATATTTTTTTTAATTTTGAAAGGGCCGTATAGAGACTGAGGGTCAATCAAAAATTATGCAATCTTGAGGTTTTTTTTTTTTTTATTTATTTTTAATATTTTTTTAAATTTTGAAAGGGCCGTATAGAGACTGAGGGTCAATTGTCCGGCAGTAGATAAAATAACTCATATGTGTCCGTCTATTTTTGTAAGTTTGCAAATCTTATAGTTAGATATGATTTGCCATTGAGCCAACGCTATTATGATTTGTAATTTTAAAGGTTTGGGTAAGAGATTGGTCCTGTCTTTAGATAATAATTTATCAGAAATCCTAAATGAGGACTTAACCAGTCTTTGACTATTGATATATACTGTGAACAATCTATTAGTAAGATTACACCCATAGTTAAAGCAACTACAGAATTATTATCTTCTATCAAATCTATCAGATATGTAATGACACAAAATATCATGTATGATCAAGTTTGATCTCATTGAATTCATGTAGTTCATGAATATTTTTTTGAAGATAAATTAAATGAAGATTTATTATTACAATTGGTTTCTCTTAATGACTGGTTAAATGTAGAAGAGGAATTTACGATTACAATATGAGTTTGTATTTAGAAAACAATTATGTTAGAATAGGTTCATAAAATTATGGCTATGTTTGAGCAAGAGTAACAACCTATCTTCATTTAAGCTAGATGTTAAATCAACCCTAGTGTATTTGAATCTATTTTTAAACAAGAGCTAGATTCAATCCCTGAAATCTAATTCAAGTGTAAGGTTAATTCTAAGAATAATGAGCAAATAGAAATTGAATTTAAAATTGAAGTTACACGTATTTTCATAAGTGTTTCTAAATCGCACAAAATCGAAATATACTCCTATATGTGAAGTTGTGCAATTGTGTTTGCTGAAAATGAAGAGTCAATAGGTCTTACTGTTGAAGTGATTCTCAAATGCAAAAGTGAATTATGACCATCAAAGATGGATTTGATTCTCAAATGCAAAAGTGAATTATAACTATCAAAATTAAGTGAATTATGTTGTTTGGTTAACTCCGGTATCACCCTTTGTTCAAAAGTGAGATTTGGTTCTTCTTTTTGGGTGACTTCATCATTATTCATTTCTATCATGTCGTCATGTATGATTTTTTGTTGGTTCTCTTTTCGAAACTTGAACACTGACTAATTGCTAGATTTTAGTTTTCTTTGTTTTTTTCTCGTGAAAATTTTGGATCTTTGGTTATCATTAAATTATCATGTGAGAATGAATATAGTATAGTTGTTACATTAAAAGCAATCAAGCTTAGCATATTCACTATATAATGGAGATACTAACCAAGTTTTTTGATAATAATCTATTGTGGTGCAGTTTATAGACAAAGCACCAGAGGAAATTGTTAGTGGAGTAAGGGAAAAAGTAAAAGAAGCTGCCGAGAAAATAATTCTCACAAAAAATCGGCTGGTCTTTCTTGAATCATCAACCCCTCAATGAACCTACTCCTGCTGCACATCTTGAGATAACATATTTTTGGTGATTCTGTAGCTTACCACTCAGTGAGTAGATCAGGTATGAAGCAGTTCATGACAAATTAATGGTTGCTAATCAGTGAAGTTAATGATTATATGTATATTAAGAGTGTCTAATGATCCTATAGATCAACATAAAATTTGCATCCCAACGGGGCATCATGTAACAAAATAATGTTATATATCATGAAAATTGAGTGCTGCTGCTGCTATATATTTGAACGCTCTTATTCCGATTTCTTAGTACAAGTTCATAATGTTCATGCCATTTAAAATCTTGCAAAGAATGATTGTGTGTCTGCATCAATAAGTCTACTGAAAAAAAAAAAAGTATTATTCAAGCGACATTCCATGTAGTTCGCTGCTACAACAAAATAAACAACCCTGCAATGAGGCATCTGCATGTTTTTTTTTTTTTTTTTTGGAAAAAAAATATACATACGCCCGACTCAATACCTATTTATTTACATATCTAACACCTAAACTTCAATATTGTCATATATAACACCTTTTTCTATGCTGGGAAATGCGTATTTTACTTTTAAAGTAAAAAAAAACGTGGTATTTTTTATGTGAATAAATTAGAAAAAAAAAAAGTAAAATAAAGTTTAGGTGTTTGATATGCAAGTACATAAGAAATGAATGGCATGTATGTAAATGCTCTGTTTGAGTGGATAGGGTTATGGAAAACAAAGCTTTGCTGCAATAATTTTCCGTGCGGCAGAGAGGCCATGATTGTCCGAGAGATGAGCTACTGGAGCGTCATCTTTGTAGCAGCAGACGCAATGTTTTGACATCTGTAAGGGAAGCAGCGCATGAATGGCGGTGCTTTAGGGGGCATCCACCTTTTAACTGCCTTTCTCTGAACTCACATCTTCGCATTTTCTGAAAAACTCTAGGAGTGAACTACATTGAGAAATACAATTGGGTGGGTATTATACTTTTGAAGGTTTAGGGTTTAGCATGTTAATCTCCAATACTCCGTTATATGTGGGAAAAAATAATTGTGAAAAGCTTCTTATGCAAATTTATATTACAATTGTGAAATAAACATACTTCCCGTTAGTAGCTCTCGTTGTATCCTCTTTACAAAAAGATGTTGATCCCGAAATTCATTTTCTTCTTTGAAAATGATAGAAATTTGACACTTTGTTCAACTCATCCCGTCATTAAATTTAGAATGGGATTTGGTTACTTTAAAATGATTTGTGGTTATCTTTACTTTTTTCACGGTGGACTCTCAGTTGGTTGATGAGAAAATAAATCTTGATGGAATTTAGTTTCTTATCTGACGAAGATTTCCCACATTTGAAGAAGATGGTTGTTGAAAATACTTATGTTGTGAGTATTGTTGCTACTGTTATGCCTGAGATTCAAAGTTCTACTGAGTATGAAAATTTTTAAAGTTCTTAAAATTCTTGAGCCCGTTGAAGAAGTAAATGATAAATTGGTAAAAGTATTGGGTGAAACTTATAACATTTTCTTAGTTTTCAAAGTCGGCTCATTTTCTACGATTGTTCCTATATTGACTAAAACCGAATAGAAATAGGAATTGAAGAATTCATAAGAGAGATCTTGGGGCTAATAGAGAAGAAGTTAATTGAGAAAGATACACATGAGATTGAATCTGACTTGTTTGAAACATCCCCACTTAGATGGAATTAGGTTTCACACACTTTCTGTTGTCAGATATACAAAATATGGACTTGAGATAGGTGATTCATATCCATCCCCTCTTAAATGAAAACCCCATAAAAAAGGAA